GGCGGCCTGAGGCGGCAGGTGAGGGGCGGCAGGTGAGGGGCGGCGGGGCCGGGGGCCGGGCGTAGAGCCCAGCGCCGGTCCCAGGGTCCGGTTGTAGAGTCCAAGGCCGGCTGAAGGGCCGCGGCCTGGCTCTGGGGCTGTGGAGTTGGGTTGTGGGGTCGAGGCCTGGCGCTGGGCTGCAGTGGGGCCTGGCTGTGGGGCCGGACTAGGCCTAGCTGAGGGGCTGGGGCCAGACTGTGTCACTGCGGGCTCTGTGGCTGGACTGTGCTGTAAGGTCGGGGGCTTGGGGTGCCTGCCCTCCCCAGGCCCTGGGGTCACCGTGTTTGGGGGCATCAGTGGGCACAGCCCTCCCTGCCTGTAGTTCTCAGACCCAACCCCTCACCCAGGCACCCGAATCCAAACCGTGCCATATTTAAAAGAGCTCCTCACGGTAAACCTCTACTGTATGCTGTTCTGAAGCAGTACAGACCCTCACTCAGGAGGGTCCTGCCATGGCTTCTGGCAGGTTGTTTTAGGGTTTTTATTCTTTGAATTGACAGTGTAACTGGTGATACCTGCTAAGTGCTCCCATGCACTCTAGAGTTCCCCTTCAGAGGATGCCAAGCTACAGCTTGTTGCCCTAGAGTTTATTTGTTAGAGGCAGTACATGAAAGGCACACACCCTCCTCCTTCCCACAGGTTCCTAGGAAACTCTGATGCGTCACTTGGGCGCCATGTCCCTGTCTGTAGCACTGCTCGAGGCTTCAGAGGGACAGATCTCTCTGTCTCCAAGCAGCTTTTTACTGGCACTGGTCAGGGTGTGCCCGTGTGCTGGGACTCTGCCTTGGCTTTGCTGAGTGTTGGTTGCTGAGCATTTCCATTTTACTGCAGTGGAGGAGAAAACAAGCACTAAACAACTCATCACTGGCAGAAGGTTGTGGAACAACCACAGTGGCTGTTCCTTCCTGTTTGTTTATTTTGGGGTGAGTCCAACTTTATAGGAGAATGCCATGCGATCAAAATTGACTTTTTTTTTCCCCCCATGACAAATACTGCTACACAAAGAGAAAACCTCTTCCTTTTCCTCCTACAAAAAAGGAAGAGGAGGTGTGTGACCCTGTTACGCTTCTCCAAAATGTTGTGAGGTTGTGGCCTGGTTGTCTGGGATCTTGGCCTGTTTTGTGCTGGTAAAGCACAAGTGGTCTGAGCACAACTTAAGTTGGGGAACACACATCAGAAGATGGTTTCGTCTTTAATGGGGTTAATAGCAATCTCTGTTAAGCAGCTTTTGGTCACAGCAGGAGTCAGAATGGGTTTCTCTGTATTGAATCAGATATACTCACTTTCAAAGGTCTTTTGACTTTTGATGATGAAAAGCGAGGTGCAGTCAGTCTTACCCAAAAGTCCGCAATGGGAACTTAATCTGTCACTGCAGGAACAGCGAAAAGGCCAGATCTATTTTTTGACGTTCACTCATCTCCCATTTTCACTGAGTTTCTAGCTTCAGAAAAAAAATGTTTCTGTTCTTTCCATCAAAAACTTTGAATTGGGAAGGGTGCAACTTCCCAGTGCTCTGGGTCAACTTTAAACAATTCCTGACAAAGCCAGCACCTATAAATACACCTATCCCACCGTCTCTGACTCAGCTGTTACTGAACTGGAGGATTGCTGCCTGCCCACATGGTGGTACACCAGATTTATCGCTATTTTTATTAGCTGACATGCAGCACGCAAGTGGGAGCTCTAGGGAGATTAAGCAATCTAGAAGACTTCTGGCCAATTCCTGTAACTTTTCTCTCTCTACCCTGTCTGCAGGTGCCTTAAGAAGCAATGGCCACAGCGGCTCTTCTGAACTTAGCACCATCTCACCTCTCCTTCCCTTCCAGCACAGCAGCTGCCTTCTCGTGGACAAACGCCGTCGACATGCACGGCACCAGGCCAAAATCTGCCAAGGGACGCACGAGGCCAAGCTTTAGTTACTCTCAGAGCGTGGAAGCCTGTCCTTGCCAAGTGCCATCTTCTCTGCCACCAGCCACTCCTCACAGATTAGTGAACAGCCGGAGAGCATTGTCCACAAAACCAGCATTCCCATCCAGCCAGGTATCTCCTGAGAAAATCCCAGAGCTCCTGCAGCAAGTGCCTTTGAGGACCTCCTCTTCCCTGAACAAGTACAGGGTGCTCCCCTCCATCGGGTGGAAAGGGGCAGGGAACGGCGCCATGGAAGCGGTGGCTGAACAGACAGACCGGCTGAAAGTGAGTGGGGGGCAGGAGGATGCTCCAAAAATCAAAACTCTTCCCAGAGAGCAAGGAACTGTCAGTGTGTTGTCAGAAAGTGGCATCCCCGATGAAGAGAGCCCACACGTGCAGTGTCCTGAGAAACTGGGAAGGAAAATGAGGCAAGAAAGCCCTTTGATGTCAACTTTAGGTTTGGAAGAGCCACCGAAAGAAGAGTCGTGCTTGCTGCTCGCTATTCGATCCCCCTCTGGTCAGAGATTTGAACATCATTTCAAGCCCACTGACAGTCTCCAGATGGTCCTTGCTGTGGCAGAACAGAAAATGTCAGCAAAATACAAATGCTGCTGCATTGAAACGATGGAGATGCCCCGAAGGAGTTTCTCTGACCTTAGGAGGTCCCTCCAGGAATGTGGGATTCTCCACAAGTCCCTGCTGTGCATCCGATGGAAAGAGCAGCACGACGCAGATCTTTAGGCGCAAGGAGACGCCGCCGTGGGTCGTTCTGCTGAGTGGGATGCATTACTTCTGAAAAAATGAGAGTCTGATCTTTCCTGGGCCTACTTCTTCATCTTGCCATCTTCCCAAAATTCCCCTGGAAGCCAACTTGTGTATATGTGTTGAAATAGTATTTCAAGTCTATGTAGCTGCTACCTAAATAGCATTTTTCCTCACATGTGCCATCACAAACTTCTTCCTGACCACCACCAATCCTTGGCCTTTTTGGTTTTTTTTTTAAATTTCCCATGTTCTTCTTTGAAGACTGAAGTCTCCGAGACCTCTCCCTTTGTCATTTTCTCTCTTTCAGGAAGGTACCACTTCCCAGAGTGGATCTGGATGCAGAGGCACCTATTTGGGAAGGTAAAGACAAAACTGCTTTACTCTGGAGGACCATCTTCAGTAGGTTATCGTCATCCTAATCATCATCTTGAGTGACTGAAAAGGAGATCAAACCTGAAAACCATCTGGAAATAACAGCAATAACAGGTTAATAAGATAATTGTGAAGTATTAAATTGCAAGACCAATGGTAATATACTCAAGGGCTCAGCTCTTTCTGGATAACCTCAGTGCAGCTTTTGAGAATGTGACTACATCGCCTTTTTAAGAATAAATAGTTACTATTTTGGCTGTATTGGTGAGCAGCAGGATTTTCTGCTTAGATTTCCTTCTCTCATTCAACTCATGAGATCCATAGGTAAGAATAGATGGATAGTTAAGATGGGATGTTACAAAACACCTTCACACTGAAATTAGTCCAAGAAAGAAAGTGCTGCTTTGAGATTTTTTTATAAAAATGTATTAATCGGATTTGACTGAGGAGTTGGCTCAGACAGGAGGCCATGTTTTACTAAACCATCATTAAAAAAGGCCGGTAGGGTAACTTGGCAGGTTTTACATAAATACAGTGTGCTTGTGCTAAAAAAAGATCTAGGTTTCTAATGGAAATTTTTATGATTCAAAGGGAGTACTTCAATCTACTAAAAAAATAGACCGCTTGCCACACAGATGGGCTAGTTTTAATATTCTGAGGTAAACCCAACTTTTTTTTAACCGGTGTAACTGCCAAACCAACAAAGAACAGTGGTAGAAAACTGCTTCTGGTGGTGACTAAGAGCGAGGCATCTCCTGCTGAAGCAAGTGTTCAGGGTCCAGTGGCTTTATGAAAATGGTACCTGATGGAATAGTGTTACCCACTACTGCAGGTGATGGTGATTGTTCAGTAGGAATCCCACTGTCCTCGGAGAGACCAGGATACTGAAACGTGGGTGCTTTGAATTAAACCTCAGTGGGGAGCAAGGTATTTCCCTGAGTTTTACGCACAGGAACCATTTTGTGTGTTTCAGTCAGCTTGGGTGGTTAATTCCCCTCCGATTTGCTGTATACTATGTTACTTCTAAGTTGCAGAATGTTTTTTACTGTAGCGGTACAATCAAGAAAACCTTTTAGGCTGAAACTTGAACTTAAAATGCTTTATGTGAACAGGAAGTTTAGCCATTGCATCTCCTCTGAAGTAAGAAATGCTGTTAATTTGATGGCAAATACCTCAGGGACTGTCCAAATCAGGCTCTGGACGGTGGGGTGCTGCCCACACCACCTTGCAGGTGCCTTCCCTGGTTTGTGTCTCCGTCCTGCATTAAACCCAAGATGGCAGCAAAGGAGGGAGGGCTCAGACCCCAGCCTACCCGCTGCCACCAACCAGAGACATGGTGACCACCCCGCAGCTTTGAGAGCGTGTGGGGACTGATGCTTGAACCAAGAACAGAGAGTAAGGGCAGCTTGGATCACAGTGGAGAGCACTTCTCATGCTGGAGGACATTCCTTAAGATAGAGAGTTTTTCCTCTAACAAACTCACCCAGGCCACAGCATCTCCAAAGATGTGCATTGTATTTATTTCCTTTGCTAAAAACCACATCAAGGCTTTATCTAGGCAAGCACAGGGCAGGGAAAATACTTCTTTTGCGCCCCAGCTCTCCTTCTCTTCCCCTCAAAAGTCTCCTGGGGATGTAGGGGATGTCGTAGCAGCAACTATGCACTAGCGGGGAACAGTATTTATCAGACATTGTTTATTGTGCAGTATCATTTAACAAGCTTCCTGGTAGGAAGCTTTTAAGAATCACAGAGTCATCTCGGTTGGAAAAGCCCTTGAAGCTCCTCCAGTCCAACCATGAACCTCACCCTGACCGTTCCCAACTCCACCAGATCCCTCAGCGCTGGCTCAGCCCAAGTCTTCAACCCCTCCAGGGATCCCGGGGAATCCCCCCCGCCCTGGGCAGCCCATTCCAACGCCCAACAGCCCCTTCTGCACAGAAATCCTTCCTCAGAGCCAGCCTGACCCTGCCCTGGGCAGCTTGAGGCCATTCCCTCGGGGCCTGGCGCTGGGGCCTTGGCTCCAGAGACTCATCCCCCCTCTCTGCCCCCTCCTGGCAGGGAGCTGTAGAGGGCCAGGAGGTCTCCCCTCAGCCTCCTTTTCTCCAGACTAAACCCCCCCAGTTCCCCCAGCCGCTCCCCATCAGACCTGTGCTCCAGACCCTGCCCCACCTCCATTGCCCTTCTCTGGCCACGCTCGAGTCATTCAGTGGCCTTTTTGGGGTGAGGGGCCACATTTCAGCATTGAATTTCAACATTAAATCAGGTGAAGTTTAGTCCATCACAGGATGCTTTGAGAAGGTCATAAATAGAAAACTCATCAGGACTCCTGGCTGGGAACGTCCTTTCCTAAGGCTTTTAAACAACAACAAAGTATTCAAGCAAGAAATCAGCAGAGGCATCGTTCAGTATGTGTTCTTTATTCCAATTAAAAGTACATTAGAAACAGCACACAGGACCAGCAGCAGCTTTCATGACAATTCAACCCAATACTCTGCTGTCATGAGGTCATTCAGCTGTACTAGTAAAGTAGGTGATTGAAACAAGTCTTCCACTCGACACGCAAGCACTCACTCACCTGCCACTTTAAATAGGTTTCCAACAGAATAAAAATAGATACACCCCAGAATACAAAAAGTTTAATTTTAACAGTTGTTTTTTTTTTTTTTTTTCACTAAAGCCTTTATACAAATTGATAAAAGGGTGCACAATTTCCTAAAATTTTAGGTACATTTTAAATGAGCCTTTTTTTACTTGGTAAAAGGATCCATGTTCCTGTCTTTGAACAGAATATGATGGCCAAAATTGCAAAGAAAATCCCTAGTTAAATTTACAATTTATACATTTATTTTGAAGTGATTCCTGCACCGAGTAGCAGGCCGATGGCTGCTCATGCATGTCCCATTTTCCCCAAAAAGAGCTGTGCACCCTAAGTTCTAGTTCAGGAGCCTCCTTCTCCTGGAAACCGGGCTGGGGGAACAACCCACAGGCTTTCAGCTGTGCGCACGAGAATGGTCCCAACCGAAATAAAACCCGAGCACAGAAGTTGCAAATCCTTCCTGCTCTGGCAAGGATCACCCTGGGGCGAGGGACTGATGACCTGTTGCACTACGAGCACAATGAAAGTGGAGCGCTTCCCATCTGCAATTTGCCTGAGCAATTTAACTCAAAACTCTGGTACTGAAACATACTGTAATATGTAAATTTGGTGTTCTAAAGGTTGGGTTTTTTGGTCAATACAAGCTATCATGATTTTTTTCAAAATGTTACTCCTACTACTGATCGGTGAAGCCCAGCAGTTCTGTACATTTTTCACGCAGAGCTTCACAGCAGCATCTTAGAACTGGCACCACCTGCCTAAAGGTGACGGACCCCCACTTCAACAGTGATTAGCATTTTATGGAGGTGAATTTATTCAAAAACATTGATTAGTACAGTTCCCTTCATACTGCCCCTCCCTCCCCATCCTGCCCACCTACCCCTTGGCGAGGTGAAACACTTCAGCTGACCTTCTAGAATATGTACTTAAGCACTGTCACCACCGCACCGCTTTATGTAGAGTGGCCATTCTAACAAATCAAGGACAAATTAAAAGAAAATACTGCCCAGCAAAAGCAACACAGCACCTGTGTTTGCGAGTATGAGCTACTGGAGACATCCTTAAGACAATTCATGTAAGGAAAAGCAGAGCAAATCCATCAGGAAGCCAGAAATGAGTCTTAAAGAGCTCAGGGGAGCGCCAAAGAGAATGATATCCTATTTTGTACAAGTTGAGTTTTTAGCCAAAAACCAGCTGCCTTATTTGTTCCTTTTTTTTTCTTTTTTCATTCTATATTTGACTGTTGAATTTTAAATGATCAGGTTAATGCTGAGCTTTATTGCAATTAAAGGCAATAAAGCTTTTTTTTTTCCCAAAATTTGTTTTAGATAATTACATATTGCCCATTTTTTGGCAAGTATATTCCATAGAATTCAAAAAAAATCTTTCCATTTTAAGGCTAAACTAAGAAATGTTAAAAGCTTCTGTAAACATTTCCTCTTCCTCTCCATAGTTGCACAATTTGAAGTCCAACTGCAATTTTTAAAATGAGGTAATTTTTGTGTACTCATATCTTTAAGAGTCCTTTTTCGGGACTAGCTGAGAGGCGTGCCAATCTGAACGCTGATCCAATTGTAGTGGGAGAGCTTCCACAGCAGGGTACACACCAGTTCCAGCAGCTGTACTTCAGTTAGTTATCTTCTCAATTTCATCCAAGTCGTCAGTATCCAATTTGTTTATCTTTTTGTCTGGCAAAGATGAGAAATACGTCAGATTTTGTAACACAGAGCAGAGAAGGGAAATCTGCTTTCTTTAGCTGGTCTTGAGGAGTTCAGGTTTATCCATGAAACCGTCAGGTTTTAAAACTACAACATAAAGCTTTTTTCTTTTCATAAAGGGCCCATCTGGGTACACGAATGTTACCCACCTCTGGAACATCCATTTTAAGGACTATCCAGGTAGCCAGCAAACAAAACAACTTGACTCATTTCTGCTCCTATCATATGTAGCAGTTCACAATCCTGAGACATTACACCAAATGCAGCTGACGGGCTCTTCTGCGGCCAGTTTAAGGCTCAATAAATACCTGCTCAGTATACAGCTAGTCAAAATTCTGTGGAAATAACATCTGATTTTAGAGAAAGAAGAAAGTTTGAGGGTACGTACTGAAATGTTCCTGGATTCTGTTGAGAATATTCATGCTGTGCTTGCTGTCCACCATGTTAATAGCCAGTCCTCGCTTGCCAAAGCGACCTGTACGTCCAATCCGGTGCAGGTAAGTCTCATTATCTGGATTTCCGTCTTTATCCACAGGAAGATCAAAATTGATAACAACAGAGACTTGCTCTACATCAATCCCTGATAAAAAGAAAGCATCAGATCACACAACTACATTTTAGAGCAGGAACAGCCTCCTCTGGCCTGACCTGCGTGTGGTGTGGTCACCAGGTTACCCAAGAGCAGAGATTCCAGCAGCTTTCAGAGAGCTGCCGCGTGGCAGCCTGTGCACTGACCAAAGAGCTAAAAGCCAGGCTCAAACTTTGAAATGGATCTTTTCCACAAGAGATACTTTGAAATAAAAACTATAGCTGTTACACCAGAGAATCCCACTGAAATGGCCAACAGAAAAGCAGTCAGAGATGTTTTAACCAGCTCTTACATAGTTTGGAAACACTCTCTTCCTCTACAAAGCTGTAAAGGCCCCTTTTTTTTTTTTTTTTTTTTTTTCCCCTCCAAGTACTGTGTTGTGTTAACTGTTCTAGGATGTCAAATTGCAACACAAATTCCTCCTGGAGTTGACTCTTTTTCAGATTTCCGTATTTCGGAACATGTTTATTTTAAACCAGAGGGTCTGCAGTACAACCCAGGCGCTGTGCCAGAAGCATAAAGTTCTCACAGGATGGACTTTTCCATCTCAAGCTGCAGGAAACCTACAAGGAGTTCTGTGTTTGCCCACAGGCATCTTTATATGCACATACACAGCAGCCCAGAAGTCCAGGAATTATTTTAAGGACCCTAATTTGTCCAGGCTGGAACACTTGAGGTGGCCAAGTCTTTCTGCAAGCTGGCCAGCAGTATGTTATCTTGAACTGCTGCTTCTGCCCCTCCCCGTCCCAGCTCTGCCATCCCCTACCTCTGGCACAGACGTTTGTGGTCACCAGCACCTTTTCTTTGCCCTCTCGGAAACGCTCTATCACGGCAGCTCTCTGTTCCACCATCATTTCCCCGCTGAGCAATGCCACCTGATGGCCTTCCTTGGAGAGCTCCGCCGCCAGCCAGCCGGCCGTCTTCCGAGTCTGAAACACAGAGCAAGGCCTGGCTTTGGGAGGAAGTTTTATTGCTGTAAAGTGGGAACAAACCTCTCTGAAGTGGACTGGAAGCTCAGTGGCCACTCAGTTTTTATATCTCAAAAGGAAACAGCTCCTAAGTGCTGTGCCCACCCCTGCTCCACTACAACTTGTGCTCCCAGCTCTCCTATCAGAGCTCATCTCCTGTGGTTCCACCACAGGAACCCTTCTTTAAGAAAAAGTACCTTTTCTT